CAGATTGGGGGTGGGTGGGTGGGAGAGAGAGAGAGAGAGAGAGAGAGAGAGAGAGAGAGAGAGAGAGATATTTTCTAACAACAGCAATAAATTGATGGTGTTTATAATTTTTCTCATTGGAATTAGTCCTGGAAGCATTCCTCCTCAGTCGGAGAGGCACTGTATAATTTACCTTTCACTTTGGCAGTAGCGCTTATGCTTCTGCCACGACTGAAATGGGTTCGCATTCCCTGACCACAAAAGGACAGGGATGGATTTGCGCATTCACCACTCACTGCCCGCAACATTAGCAAAGCTCCCTAGAAGGCTGCTTGAGGTGCTTAAAATGCTCTATAGTGATCACCCAGACTGAGGGAACCTCGGTGGAGCGGTTTGAGAAGACAAGAGGGCCGGGAAAGAAGGGAAAGCATCCTCTTCTGGGGAGAGAAAGCTGGGAATCCACTGTGAACCGGCCGGCACTGCCAGGAGGTAAGGTGAGGGAAGGAAGAGAATTTCAATGAGTTCAGAGAGCTTCTGCTACCCCAGTAACAGAATTGTGGTGGACAGCATGAGGACACCAATCCTCTCACACAACCTGACAGCCAGAGCGTGTGAAAACTGACTCTTCAGCGTCCCCAACTCCGAAAGCTGAGCCCCATTAGAGAACAGCTCACCCACCAAACAACCCTCCACTTTCCCTCCTTTAGCTCCTCAACACCAAGCACCCAACGCCAAAAGGCGAGGGAGGCTCCCGCGTCACGTGACACCGCAATCACGTGACTCCGTTCTGGGCGAGCCAAGGCATAGTCCCGCTCCCGCAGCCTTAAGGAGGGGCTCGTCGTACCCACACCCAGCCAGACTCGACCATGCTGTCCCGCCTGCTCAAAGAACACCAGGCCAAGCAGAACGAACGCAAGGAGCTGCAGGGTGAGCTCAGTGTCCCGTCGGCCGCTCCGGGCTGCGGCCTAGCTTCTTCCGGAAGCCTGGACCTCGGGTAGCCTCCCAGATCAAGGGGAGGGCGCCGGCTAGCGGGCGACCCGAGTGCGGGGCAGGGAATTGGGGGCAGTACTGCTGGGAACTCCGTCCCTTTGCCAACCCGCCCTGGTCCCCTTGGCACCGCTCGGGTCCCCTCGGCTCCTCCCTTAATCCCGCCCAGACGGCGAGTGAGCCCCGCCCCTGGCTCGTGACACGCGTTGCCAATTGGTCCAGCCAGCTTCCTACCCCGGAAGTGGGAGGAATTGGGGCCCGCCCAGTGAGTGGCTGGGTTCCAGTGAGTCTGCCATACAGCTAAGGCAATGAAGCGTGTCTTTACACAGGTCCAGACTGGGAATTCTGCAGTTGTCAATCCATTGCCCAAACTAGTGTCTGGGAAGAGTCCAGGGCGTACTTGATAGAGCCCCTTCCCTTCTCAGGGTGCCAGTTTCCTCGCCTCCAAAATAAAGTGGTTTGTTTTGGTTTGTTTTGTTTATGCATGGGAGGTTCTTTTTTAAGAGGTCTGACATTAGTTGGCAGTTTCCAGAACAGTAATAAATGCATGATGACCCATTAGCACCACCGTTCCAATCCCTTTCCCCCTTCCCCAGAGAAGAGGAGACGAGAGGCTATCACTGCAGCGACCTGCCTGACCGAAGCGTTGGTGGATCACCTCAACGTGGGGTACGAACCTCTTCCCTCAACTCCGATTCCCTCCATCCACCCTAGTTAGACAGGGTCTGATCCTTCAGAAGGATCCAGGTGCCCCCAGTAACGCCCCTAATCTGACCCCTCCCCGTAATGTAACTTTATGGAGACTTGAGTCAGTTTTGACTCTCTGAGGCTGATGGGAGCGACAGCTGCAGTGGTTGGGAAAACAGAATTCTCCTCTCCACACTAACTTCCCTGGCACAACTTGATGCCATCTGACCAACTCGACTCACCCTTTTACATCCAGCTGTCACTTGGGTGGGCGGGAAGGACAACCTCTTTCACCACATACCCTCTTTCCTTCCTCACCTCCTACTCTCTGGCAAGCCTGCGAAACAAATGGCAGGAACAAGATGGCACAACTGGTAGAAATAAGGAAGAGTCTAAGCCAAGAGCTATGACAAAACCAGGCTGTCTCTTCCTTTCCTCCTGGGTCTCCAGGGACCCTACCCCCAACCTCAGCCGTCAATGAGAAGAGCAGCGGTATCCAAAGACTTGGGAAGAACTCCTGGCCCTGCATGACTCATAAGAGTGCAGAGATGGTGATCTGATAGTCTGTCTACGGGAAGAAAGGAGGCACATACTATGCCTTCCGCTCAGGGCTAGTGACAGGCTTGGTTGCAAATCCAGAGACTGAGTCATCCAAGTGTGTCATGCAGGGGTTGGGGTCATCTCCATTACTCATCTTGAGGGGAGATTAGGGGAAAGAATGGCTGTGGTTGGGGCTTCTGGTCTCCTTTGTCTCCAGACAGCTCTCTCCTCTGGTGTTCCCACCCTAGCGCATCCTTTGCTACATTTGTGAGGCTGGCCAGACTTCTCTCTTTCTGTTTACTTGCTAGATGCCACCCCACATTCGAAGCTTAGAGGGCAGCTAAGCCAAATCCTGATTAGACAGGGTTTTGTGTTGCTTCCCACAGCTCCTATTCTCCAGAAAATAAAACAAAGGCTTAGTTTGTCTCAACCCTTGTCAGGTGCCCTGCCCACTTTCTTGAACCCCCCCCCATCCCTTTGCCTCCTCTGCCCCCACAGATTCCAGTGGGTGAGGACACCGGATATGGAGTCTCCTTACTGACCTAGAGCTTTGGAATAGGGAATGAAAAGGTCATCTGCTAGTAAGAGAGAAAACATGATTACATAAAGGGGGAAGTGAAAAACAGTAGTGGAGGATGGAGAACCAGCCTCTTTGTAGTGATGGTTACCACAGCCAGCACCTTGATTGAGCTCAGAAGCAGCACAAGCACTGGGCTGTGTGGGTGGGGTCGTGCTCACTCATCTGTGTGGGTGGAAGGGAGAGTTGGGTGTAACGGTGAATGCCTATATGCCTGTAATCCCAGCACTTGAACTGTAGAGGCAGGAAGATTAGATCAAGGGCAGCTTCATCCACATAGCAAGTTTGGGGTCATCCTGGTGTACATAAAACCATGTCTCAAAAAGGGGGCTGGGAAGAGCCAAGAAAATCTCTTGGGGTAGATTTGACCCAGAGTTCCTGAGGAGGGAGTATGGTCTTCCTTCCCACCCCAGATTCAGGGAGAGGCCTGATTTCCTTTGCAACTTCTTGCAGAGCTCACTGGTCTTCAAATCACTGCCAGATGTGTCCCTGCTGCTGAATTTTCCCACGCTCCCAGCTTCTTCCTCAGGGATATCCCCCCAGGTTAACCTTCCCTGCCCCATCTCAGCTGCAGAAACTTCTTGAGAGGATAGGAAATGGTATGTTTCTAGTCAGCTCATAACTTGGCTTTCCCGGGAACCCTGGGACTGGAGGAAGGAGCCTGCTTCATTTGGGTCACATCCAGAAAAGGCCAGAGTCCCAAGGCTTCCCCAGTCCTCCCTCCTGGCTGATCTCCCCCCTCTGTAATAGGCTATTACCCCTGAAAACCACCCTGAATAAGTTGGATAAGTCGACATACCCCCTCCTCTAACCCTTAGTGTGGCCCAGGCCTACATGAACCAGAGAAAGCTGGACCATGAGGTGAAGACCCTACAGGTCCAGGCTGCCCAGTTTGCCAAGCAGACAGGCCAGTGGATTGGAATGGTGGAGAACTTCAACCAGGCACTTAAGGTAGGTCACGCTCAGCACATCATTGCCTTTAACTGAACCCTCATTGGCTGTCTCCAGTCTCATAAAAATCTCAGACCTAGGGTTAATGAGGAAGTGGGGATGGTCCCAGGTACTCCTTCTATGGCTGTGGTATCAGAAAAGCTAGAAAGAAAAAAAGGCAGGATCTCAGGATAAAGCTCGGTGACATGTCTGGGTTCAGTCCCTAGCACTACAAAATGAAAGTTCTCAGAAAACCCTGAGTGTGGTACATGGATCAGTACTACCAGCTAGTCTGGAGGCTGACACAGGAGATAGCTTAAGCCCAGGAATTGAAGCTAACCTGAGCAACACTGCAGTAATTCATCTCAAAAAGAAGGTAGACAGACAGAAAAACAGTTGGTGGGTCTGAGTAAGCCACCTCAGCTGGAGGGTAAAGTCTACCCATCCTGATTCCTGATCTCAATCTCTTCTCCCCTTTCTCAGGAAATTGGGGATGTAGAAAACTGGGCTCGGAGCATCGAGCTGGACATGCGCACCATTGCCACTGCACTGGAATACGTCTACAAAGGGCAGCTGCAGTCTGCATCATCCTAGACTAAAACCCACCCCTCTTACCTCACCCTCCTGGACAGGAGGGAGGCTGGTGAGCCATGAATAAAAACACAAGCTTCCATTCTGTGTGGTGTGTTTGAAACAGCCACTAGCTCCCGTAAGGCAGTGGGAATTCTGGGGCAAGTTCCTTTTGGTGGAGGGTACCCCTACTGTTCCTTGGGCCTAGTGCAGGTACCTTTGGGTGAGCAGAAAGTAAGTTTCCCCCATGCCTGCCCAGAGGTGAGTGGCCTCTGCTCGAAACTTTCTACTTCCAGATTTCAGTTTCCTGCAGAGCAGAATTAAGGCAGGGAGCAGAAGCAGGCCTAGTGAGTCCTCAGCTCTGGCTGTCTGCCTCACCACATGCTCATGTGCTCTTCCAGGCTGCTACTAAGCAGTGTCATGAGTCTGGGCCAGGTGGGAGATTAATTCTTGGGGGCACTTTAGGGCTGAGAAGGAAGAAAAAAACGACAGATCCAGGGCCACCCACAGAGAGGGGACAGCTGCCATCCTTGGTAGTTCCCACCTCCTAGGAGACAGTGGCATAGACGGTCAGGAACCCGGGCTGAGAACGACAGCCTAGGGGGTGGGAGGTGGGGTCTGGGCAGAAGTGCCCTCTGCCAAAACCTAACTTCAGCCAGGCAGGCCTCAGCCTCTTAGCTCCTCCTCCTCATCGCTGCCCTCATCCTGCAAACATAGAGAGGCGCTTAACACTCCTGGTCCTCAGCAAGAGTCCACCCACTCCAGACTTTGACCTTAGCTGTAGCTAGTGTGGGAGCCTGGGAAGTCTAGGAACAAAGTCTCTTAAGCAGACGAAAAAGCTACAGCTTCACACATTGTGTTGCCAGCTTTGCCCAGAGGTAAGTGGTGGTGGGAGTGGGGATGCTATTAAAAAAAAAAAAAAAAAGACTAGCTAAGGATAGCGTATAGTGGTTGTTCAAGCTTTAGGCTTCAAACATTGTCTTCACACGCCATCCCCTTGATCTCCACACCACCGAGATGGGCCTGGTGGGTATCGTAGCCCGGCTTACTAAATGAGAAAACAGGTTCCAAAATAGACTGAGGATGCCCAGCCTCGCACAGTAATTTTGAGGCTGCCAGTACTGAAATGGAGGGCTCTTGGTTCCAAAGGCAAGACAAGGATGCACTTAGAGGGTTCTGATGTTCCTGGTTTAGTAGGAGAATGGTAATTCAGGTCCCTCTGCTCTCACACAGGAATAGGTCTGCCTAGGTTTATTTCATTAGCTACAAAGAAAGTGTTTGCCCACATCATCTGTTTTACACAATAAGCCATAGCTTGCCAATCCTCTGCCAAGCATACAGTGTCTCGGTTTGTCTGCCCAGACCAGACATTTCCAGCTAAGTAAATGTTAGGGGCCAAGGCTAAAGGGGTAGAGGAAATGACAAGTTTTCCTGCCCAGCCCAGGCTGCCCTCAGCAGAGCATCTCATCCTACCATGTGGCTGCCTCTGCTTCTGGGTGCCTTGCTGTGGGCAGTGCTGTGGTTGCTCAGAGACCGGCAGAGCCTGCCAGCCAGAGATGCTTTCATCTTCATCACTGGCTGTGACTCGGGCTTTGGGCGCCTTCTGGCACTGCAACTTGACCAGAAGGGCTTCCAAGTCCTAGCCAGCTGCCTGACCCCCTCTGGGGCAGAAGACCTACAACAGATGGCCTCCTCCCGCCTCCACACTACGCTGTTGGATATCACTGATCCCCAGAATATCCAGCAAGTTGCCAAGTGGGTGAAGACACGTGTTGGAGAAACTGGTAAGTGTAGTGGAGCCCCCAGGAATCTGTACAGCGGTCCCGGGACTCACCGAGGCTGTGGGAGGGGAGAAGGGTTCAAATCCTCCCCAAACCCTCTCCCCGTCTCTGTCATCTTCCCACAGGGCTTTTTGGTCTGGTGAATAACGCTGGTATATCTGGTATCATCGGGCCCACACCGTGGCTGACACAGGACGATTTTCAAAGAGTGCTGAATGTGAACACACTGGGCCCTATTGGGGTCACCCTTGCCCTGCTGCCCCTGCTACAGCAGGCCAGGGGTCGGGTGGTCAACATCACCAGTGTCTTGGGCCGCATAGCAGCCAATGGCGGGGGCTACTGTGTCTCCAAGTTTGGCCTGGAGGCCTTCTCTGACAGCCTGAGGTGAGGGTGCAAAGCTCCAGGCCTAGCCTGGAAAGGGGCAGGGATCCTACTCCGATACATCAGTTGCTGACACAGGCTAGAAGACAGAGTGGGACAGCACAGGAGAGATGGAAGAGCCGACAGGGCCATAGGTGAAACCCCAAGCTTTATCGCATACAAACTTTGTGTCCCTAATTTGCATGAGTGAGTGCACGCATGTGTTTAGTTTTTGAGGCAAGTCTCACTGTCTCACCCTGACTGGCCTGGAACTCACAGAAACCAGCCTGAGTTACACCATATAGTCCAGGCTGGCCTGGGTTACACCCTGTAGTCCAGGCTGGCCTGGAATACTGGGCAATCCTCTTACCTCAGCCGATTAATTGAACTACCACACACCCAACTAGATTACTTCTCTGGGTGTTTTGGTTTTGTTGTTCATTTTTCTTCCAAATCTGTTAAATCAGAGTGAGACTTGCCTTATGGGGGTTCAGAGTAAAGTGAGCCGCGTGCAAGCACTGAGCAGTGCTGAGATGTTAGGGAAAGCTTTCTGTCGTTCATGTTTAGTTGGCATTGACAGGTATTTATTCACACATCCACACATCCATTTTTGTCGTGTGCACACATATGTACAAATGCATGGGCACCATGGCACCCATGCTGAAGTAAACTTAGGGGAGACTGTTCCCTCCTGAGGTTATAGGTTGATGGCAAGAGGCCTCATTCTATGAAACACCTCGCCAGACCTGCATATCACCACTTACACTAGAAAAACTAATATTTTTCATTCTCTCAACCATTCTTTATAAATAATCTTACTATAAGGCTACTTAAGAGGGTCATGTCTGCCCCTCATTCTTCTGTTTTATGAGACATGGTGTCACTATGTAGCCTAGGCTGGCCTCGAACTCACTCTCCTAGCGCTGGGATCACAGGCATAAGCCTCCACTGAGGGATATGTCTTGCATAACATTTTTAAACAGTAATATTCAAAGGTGGTGAGAACAGAAAGGAGCTAAAGAGGACAGTGGGTGCAGCAGAGTCTGAATTTGGGGCAGAAGCTCAGGTGGATCTGGTGGAGCCCAGCTAGTGAGGAAGGCTGCCTTCACCTTACTGGACAGATAATCTCAGTGTCTCCTCTGCCCCCTTCCCCCATCTTAATCTCACAGTCAGCATCATGAGACACAGCTGTACACTTAGATCTCCACACAGGCCAGGACAGTGGAATGTACCCCCAGCTCACCCACCAAGTCTCCTACCAGCTGATACCAATCTAGATCCCTCTATCCTAGTACTCAAGACTTTTGTTTTGGGAGATACAGAAAGGGGCTCTAGATCAAGAACTGGCAAACTTCAGTTACCAACCAGATGGGCTAAGCAGCCTTCAAGCTAATAATGGTTTTAACGCATTTAAATAGTTACATTGTAAATGGTTATATTAGTACATTCCCAGACCTTTAATCCCAGCACTCAGGAGGCAGAGGCAGGCAGATCTCTATGAGTTCAAGGCCAGCCTGGTCTACATAGTGAGTTCCAGGACAGCCACGGCTGTTACACAGAGAAACCCTATCTCAAAAACACAAAGCAACAGCCTAAAAAAAAAAAAAAATACATTAATTTTGCCAGGCATTGTGGCACACACCTTTAATCCCAGCACTTGGGCCAGAGGCAGGAGTAGTTCTGTGAGTTCCAGGTAAATCTGGTCTACATAACAAGTTCTGGTCCAGCCAGGGTTACATGGTGAAACCCTGTCTCAAAACATAAAAACATAAGCCAGGCAGTGGTGGTGCACGCCTTTAATCCCAGCACTTGGGATACAGAGGCAGGCGGATTTCTGAGTTCGAGGTCAGCCTGGTCTACAGAGTGAGTTCCAGGACAGCCAGGATACACGGAGAAACTCTGTCTTGAAAAACAACAAAAAGCAAACAACAACAACAAAAATTGGTTTTGTCTGGCATGTAGTACCTCAAAATTTACTATTAAAAAAAAAAAATAGTAGGGCCTGGAGAGATGGCTCAGCAGTTAAGAGCACTGACTGCTCTTCAGAGGTCCTGAGTTCAATTCCCAGCAACCACATGGTGGCTCACAACCATCTGGGTTTTTTTGGGGGGGTCTTTTTTTTTTATTATTATTATTGTTTTTGGTTTTTCAAGACAGGGTGTCTCTGTATAGCCCTGGCTGTCTTGGAACTCACTCTGTAGACCAGGCTGGCCTCAATTTTTTTTTAATTAAAAGAAAATTTCAATGGGCTGGAGAAATGGCTCAGTGGTTAAGAGCACTGACTGCTCTTCCAGAGGTCCTGAGTTCAATTCCCAGCAACCACACGGTGGCTCACTCCCATCTGTAATGGGATCCAACGCCCTCTTCTGGTGTGTCTGAAGATAGCTACAGTGTACTCAAGTTAATAAAAAAAATAAATCTTTAAAAAAAAAAAAAATATATATATATATATATATATATATATATATATATATAAAGAAAATTTCAAAATCAGCCTAGACTACATAGCAAAACCCTGTCTCATAAAATAAAATTTTAAAAGAGAGAAGCCAGGCATGGTGGCACATGCCTTTAATCCCAGTACCTGGGAGGCAGAGGTGGGCAGATCTCTTGAGTTTGAGGCCAGCCTGGTCTACAAAGTGAATTCCAGGACAGCCAGGACTATACAGAGAAACCCTGTCTCAGGGGTAAGAGAGGGAGAAACAGACAGACTAACATGATGTTAAACACGTTATCTCAATACATGAGAGGTCAAGACAGAAGTTACCAAGAGTTCAAGGTCATCCTTGGCTACATACAGAGTTCAGAGCTAGCCTGGGCTACATGAGACCCTGTCTCAAAAAACCAGGGGCCAGAGAGATGTCTCAGAATAAATGATTACTGCTCTTGCAGCCCTGGGGTGGTATTGATGTGGTTCAGTTGCTTATGTACCATACACAGGCCCTAGGTTTCATCCTCAGTACCAAGAAGTAAAAACAAAAAACTCCTGTCTTCCCATCGAGGCCAACCTTTCCTGTCAGGAAACACGTCCCTACACGTGACACCTTTCCATCTTAGATTCCACACTCCTGGAAACCTAGGTTGAAACACAGAAACCTCTCTGCCCACTCTCCAGGCGGGACATGGCTCCATTTGGAGTAAAAGTCTCCATTGTGGAGCCTGGCTTCTTCCGAACCCCTGTGACCAACCTAGAGAGTCTGGAGAACACCCTGAAGGCTTGCTGGGCCCGGCTACCTCCAGCTACACAGGCCCACTATGGGGAAGCCTTCCTCACTACTTGTGAGTAGCTGGGCCCATATTGGGTGCATGATGGGAGAGAGAGCCAGAAAGGTCAGGCCTCCTAGGGAGGAAAGGGGCAGGCAGAGGGAGTATTGTTGCTTCGGGAACCTGGCAACCAGCCCAAGGACCTAATACGGGATGGAGGAGGGGCAGTGTGAGCGTGCACGCTAACTACAGCATCTTCCAAGCTACAGATCTTCGAGTGCAGCGCCGCATCATGAACCTGATCTGTGACCCAGACCTAACGAAGGTGACCAGCTCCCTGGAACATGCCCTGACTGCCCGCCACCCCCGAACGCGCTACAGCCCGGGCTGGGATGCTAAGCTGCTCTGGCTGCCCGCCTCCTACCTTCCAGCCAGGGTAGTGGATGCTGTGCTCACCTGGGTCCTTCCCCGGCCTGCCCAGTCAATCTACTGATTCCAGCTTTATAGCAAGAGGCTGATTTTGAAAGGCAAGGCATCTATGTCTGTCTCCACCCGGTTGTTGCCTGGTTTCTGACACAAATTAGGCTCTCAATAAATATGTATTGCTTTAAATCAAAAAGGTGTACAGAAATGAAGGTGTCCACGGGAGCCTGACAAGATTTAAATATCTAAAATCCCTAAGCTGCCTATGGAGCAAACTGTTTGTCTCTTTAGTGCCTGCAAAACTTCTATTGTACACTGGGTGGTGTAAGGAGCCACCGTGCACCTACAGATGCTTTTCGGTGCTGCGCTTGGAGAGATGGCCACCAGAGGGCGCTTTTCCTCAGCAAAGTAATGAGAATTGTTGGCACCTGGCATAGCATTGTCTAATTTTCCTGGGGGCTGAAGGGAAAATGATGAAAAATGGTCATAGACAGATTGGGTGGCTTCCATGAAAGAAGAAGATAACTTAAACTCCCCTATTATCTAAGGCAAAGATCAGGGACACTGCCACACAGGCCTCAAGCAACTTAAACACTCTCCTTGAGGGTTGAGAAAGCGGGAGTTTGCTGGCCCTCAAAGCATCAGAAAGCCAAAAAGTTGTCCAGGCTCTACCATGTAGGGCCTTTATGGAAAATCCCTTTGACTTATGCAAGAGATGGCCTCATGGACACTGTGGGAACGCTGCTTGAAGGCTAAGCAGGCAACACAAAACCAGGGGCAGAGGAGAATACTCAGCCACAACCTCCTCTGGAGTCTCCATCTCTTCCACTGCCGACCCAACCAACACCCTCAAGAAAATACAACTTTCCCCAACAACCCCCCCCCCCCAAATATGCCTGCCTATTTTCAGGGTAGGGACCGGGGAGAAGGAGAAGGAAGGGACCGTCCACCACTCAAAGATAAACTGAGACCATCTCCTTTTTCGGGTCTGAAAAAATAATCCGTTTAATTGAAAAACCTGGAGAATCCACTCCATGAAAAGGCAGAAGAGACCGGACGCGCACACACACCCGCTACATGACTTCATAGCCACTTCGGATGCTCTTCACCAGACAGCAGGAGAAGATAATCCCCAAGACCTGAAAGGAAAGATGGAAATGAGGGTGGACAGGAGGCAGGGGAAGCTTCCTCAGTGCCTCCTGCTCCCCAGATGCCCCGGAGCTGATTCAGACCCCACAACCCACAGCAACTCTCACCTCCACAAAAGCAATGCCCAGGGCTGCTGCGGCCACCAGCAGTATATTCTTCCTCAGCCAGATTGCTATAGTCTCCACGCAGCCCTGAAGGGAAGAGACGGGCATGAATACCAACAGGAACTTCTACCTACCTACCTCCCTCCCTCCCTCCCTCCCTCCCCCCCCCCCTGTCTCCCTCCCCCCACCGGGGATCTCATCCCCCCCCCCAATAGTATCTCCTGCCTCCTGAAACATTTCCCAAGTTCCCCTCAGAGTGATGTCTTCTCCCTACCTGGGTGTGGATGGTGGATTCCTTGAAGTTATTTCCGCAGCCCGCAGTGATGTTGACACAGCAAGAATCAGGGACGCTGTCCTTGGCCATACCAGGGATTCTCTCCCAGTCTGTGTAGTTAGAGGCTCCACAGCACTTATTCTAGGAAGGGAGGACAGATGGGAGGGTAATCGTCGAACCTCTGCTTTAATTCACAGATGAGAATCTTCTACCCCAGCTAACCCTCTTCCCGGCCGTCCCACTCACTTCTTTCTGCAGTTTGTCCAAAATGGTGGCTGTGTTGTTGTCTTTAAGGTAATTCTGCATCTGCTGCTGGAAGCTCTTATTAAACTCTGACTTCACCTGAGAGTAGAGAAGTGTGTTGTTGAGAACAGAGTTCAGGCCTCAGATTCCCAGAGCAACCCAAGACTGGTTCCCCTTGTTCCCCTTGCTTACCTGGTCTCTAAACACATAGCCAGCAATGGCCACGGCCACCTCCACAAGCATGATAAGAGACAGGAAGACGGCAAACTGAGGGAGAACAGGACAGGAGTTGGGTTTGAAGTCTGGATTTAAAGGGCTTGCTCTGACCCAGTCAATTCCTGAGACAGCCCTGGGTGTTCTTCATCCACCCACCTTGCCACAGAAATGCCTTCCGGTAGTCCCAAGAGCTCCCACACCCCACTCACTGTAATCATGAGACAGTAGTTCTCCTTGCAGGCCCCACAGCAGCCCACAAAGGCCACCAGGAAGAGGAAGGCACCCACTGCAATGATGACCACAGGCAACAGCGAGCCAGCGGTAGTCTCATGGGTAATGGCCTGCTTCAAGACAACCTGAACTGCTACACCAATGGCAATCAATCCCACTGCACAGGCCTGAGGAGAAAGGTGAGGGTTAGCTCAGATCCTCAGTCCAGTAGCCCTCACACTCCCGACCCCCAACCCAGAAAACAGATTCCTACACCTCCAGGAAAGTCTGGCTGTAGAGAAGGTCTGCCCATCCTTGCCCCACAGTGAAGGACGGGAAGTTGTTTAAGGCACACAGGGAGAAGGGAATCAGGAGGTGTCATGCCTGCTTTTAAACAGGTCTTCAGCCCAGGATGTGCATTGTTACTTTCTATGGAGTCTCAGCTAGAGTCTCTCCGAGAACTACCCCCCTCACTCCAGTGTACTCAAGTCCTAGGGCCAGCTAGGCCAGGGAGGAGGGTGGGGGTAAGAGTAGCCCCTTTCTGAACAAACAGTAGCTTCTCGAGGGAGGAGCATATGAAGGAAGGCAGATCCTTTCCTTCCCCCAAGTAAATGAGAGGGCTAAGGGAATGGAGATGAATCAACAGGGTGAGGAGTGGAGGCAGCCCCTTGGCGATACCATCAGACCGTTGGCAGGTTGCCCCACCACCCCATATCACAAATGGTTGGGTCACCAGACAGGAAGGACCAGGAGGGGGTTGGTTAGGGGTGCTCTCCATCTAGGATGGCAGGCAATTCTCGGTCCAAACTTTCCTCAGAGGTCCCGAAAAGCAAGGCGGGGGGTGGGGAAAGGATGACGGGGAAGAGGGGGTAGCGCGGACACGTTCTCCCTTTGGCCCTTTCCCCGGGCTTTCCTTCCACATCTGGCCTCCAGCTGCCTTCATTTCTGGGTCCCCCACCCTTCACGGCTCCCGCTCCAAGACTCCCCCGCACCCCGCCCGCACGCCCCGTCGCTCTCCCCGCACTACTCACGCAGAAGGCCAGCAGAAGAACGTAGAGCAAAAACTTGACACACTTCATTCCTCCTTCCACCGCCATGGCTGCTGGGCCTGGGGCCGCGGAGAGCGCCAAGGATTAGGGCAGGCCGAGGGGCCGCGGGATCCGCAGCTCCCCGCCGGCCTTCGCAGCCTTCCCTGCGCGGCCCCCATCGCGGCCCTCCCACCCAGAAAGCCCGCGGTCAGATCCACGTCTCCCTGCCCTCCCCGCGCGGCGGCCGGACTGGGGTGGGGGTGCGCGCACCGCCGAGCCGGGCCTCGGGGCCTCGGGATCCCGGGACGCACGGAGGGCGCGGCCGGACGCCAGGTGGATCCCCGCCGGCCGCCGCGCAGAGCCGAATCCCGACCCCGACAGGCCGCGACCCCGGACCCTCGCCAGCCCCCGGGCGCGGGCCTCCCCTCGGGTGCCGCGCAGATGGCGCCCCGCGAACTTTGAGGCAAAGTTGCCCCCACGGGCATCCCCGGGTCCCCGGGCCCGCGTCAGCCCCGGCCTCACCTGCGCTCCCTGACGCTTCTTAATGCTCTCCTGCCGCGGCTCAGCCGCTGTCTCCGGTGCCCCCTACCCGCGCCCCGCCTGCTGCACGGCCCCGCCCCGGCTCCGGCCGCCCCCCTCCCCCGCAGGGTGGCCGCCTTCCTCCCTCCCTCCCTCCCTCCCTCTCTCTCTCTCCCCCTCTCTCTCATGTGACGCGGGAACAGCTGCGGCCTGAGTCACCCGGGCTAGCAGGGGGAGGCGAGCCCCCCGCCTGGACAAGGCCACGTGGCCGCTGCCCGGAAGGCTCGAGCTAGGGAACCGGACCTCGGGGTTCCTGGAGCCCTCTGCAACCCAGCGCCGTCTGGTTCACTCTGGGTCAGGAGTAGGCGAGTCAGAGCTCAGAGGGCGCAGGGCGGCCCAGAGTTGCCCAAAGACAGAACCTGAGCCAAAGTGTCAAAATGGTCTTCTGCAGACCTCAACCCACCGAGAACCCACCACGCACCTCCCTCTCCGTCCTTGTTCAAGCCCCTGCCCCCCATTCCCGAGCCCGCAGAAGGTGTGGGTTGGGTGGCATTGGGTAAAGTCAGAATAACCACTTCCAGAAAGCCCCTAGCTTCACGACCTAGAAGTCTCCCAACATTCTGAACTATGGTTTTATGGCCCCAACTTCTCCATTTTCTAGAACTCCTGAGCTGAGAAAACCGGAGGAAGCCCTTGTCTAGAACTGTCTCATGTGTCAACTATAACACGTCAGAGCCTGGGCCCTCCTTCTGGGAAAAGATTAACAAAGCCTTTGCTCCCTTGCTCCTGGATTAGCCAGTGGTTAATGGAGATGTGAGAGGACGCTAAGGCTCGCAAGGCAATAGCATGGACTTGCATCTTATTCCTCTTTTCATCAGAGATGACAAAACCAGGTAAAGGCAGTAGCTAGAAATACCTCCCTCCCTTGTGCCGCTGGTGGTTCCCAGAAGGAACTGTTGTAAAAAAAAAAAAAAAAAAAAAAAAAAAAAAGCTCAAAGATACACCAGCCTTACACTGCTAGCTTGAACTTTGTCCTTTTCTCAGCAGCTCCTTCTGCCTCGAGTTGCTTACTGAATCTGAACGGAAGGGAGTGTATACAAAGAAGCAATTAGAACAAAGGCCAGCTGGTGGCACATGTACAAGATCCCAGCACTTTCAGATCTTTTCTGGTTGTTTGTTTGTTTGTTTGTTTGTTTGTTTCGAAAGGGCTTTCGGTGTAGCCCTGGCTGACCTGGAACTCTATCTGTAGACCAGGCTGGCCTCCAACTCAGAGATCCACCTGCCTCTGCCTCCGGAGACTAAAGGCCATCTCCATTACACCCAGCACAAGAGAATAAATTTAAATAATTGAATTTGAACAACTCAAAGCCACTCTGGACAGTTTAATGAGACACCACACACACACACACACACACACCTTTCTCTTTGGAATCAGGGTCTCTCATGTAGCCTAGGCTGGCCTGGAACTCCCTGAGTAGCTGAGGACAACCTTGGACTGATGATCATCCTGTTTCCACAAGTGCTGGCATCACCGGACAAGTGTGGACAAGCCGTTCTGGCATCAGACCCAGGATTTTGTGCCCACCAGGCAAAGAACTCTACCAACTAAGCTGTATACCCAGTGCTAGTGAGACTATAGTTCAACATGACAAATGGAAATACATGCAGCTCTGTGGTAGGGCATCCAGCATGAACAAGGACCTAGGCTCAGTTCCCAGACTACAAGGCAGTCGAGGCATGGCGGTGAGACCTGTTGTTCCCAGCACTATGGAGGTGAAGGCAGGATGGCTGGAGGTTACAGGCCATCCTGGGCTATGTGACACCTCGTCTCAACCAAACCAGAACCACAAAATCAGTGGTATATACTGAACCAGGAGGATCACTTAGTCATTTCAAGTTCAAGTCCAGCCTGGGCTACACAGTGAGACCTTATCTCAAAAAAAAAAAAAAAAAAAAAAAAGAAGAAGAAGAAGAATAAATTCGAGCTGAGCTGAGGATATAGCTTGGTTGGTAAAGTGCTTTCATAGAATGCAGACAACCCTGGCTTGTGTTCTTAGCATCTCACAAAACAGGCATGGTTGTGGTGTATGCTATTATTCCAGGACTAATGAGGTAGAGGCGTAAGTCTCGAGGATTCAAGCTCACCCTTGGCTACCTAAGGAGTTTGAGGCCAATCTAAGGAGAGAGTCCTTGCCTCCAAATATGAGTAAATCATCAAATAGTAAATCAGTGCCAGTTAAATGAAGAACCTTGGCATGACAGCACATGTTTATTATTTCCATATGCAAGCTGAAGCAGGATGAGCGTGACTTACAGGCTAGCTTGGGCTACATACGGGGACCCTGTCTCAGAAAGGAGGAAGAGGAGGAAGAGGAGGAGGGAGAGGAGGAAGGGGGGAAGAGGAGAAGGGGAGGAGGAAGAAGAGGAGGGGGAGAGGAGGAAGAGGAGGGGAAAGAAGAGGAGAAGAGGAGGAATAAAAGGAGGGGGAGAGGAAGAAAAGAGGAGGAAGAAGATAAAGAGGAAGAGGAGAGGGAAGAGGAGAGGGAAGAGGAGAGGGAAGAGGAGAAGAGGAAGAAGAGGAGGAGAAGAGGAAGAAGAGGAGGGAGAAGAGGAGGAGGAAGAGGAGGAGAAGAGGAGAGGGGAAGAGGAGGAGGAGAGGGAAGAGGAGAGGGAAGAGGAGAAGAGGAAGAAGAGGGAAAGAGGAGGAAGAGGAGGGGAAGAGGAAGAAGAGGAGGAGGAAGAGGAGGAGGAGGAGGGGAAGAAGAGGAAGAGGAGGGGGAAGAGGAAGAGGAGAAAGAAGAAGAAGAGGAGGAGGGGAAGAGGAGGAGGGGAAGAGGAGGAGGAGAAAGAAGAAGAGGAGGAGGAGGAGGGAGAAGAAGAGGAGGAGAAGGGGGAAGAGGAGGAGGAGAAAGGGCTGGAGAGATAGATGGCTCAGTTGTTTAGAGCACTCGCTCTTACGGAGGACCTGACTTCAATTCCCAGCAAACACATGGTGTTCTATAACCTCTGTAACTCCAGTTCAGTGAATATGATGCCATCTTCTGGCCTTCTTAGACATCAGACATACATATAGTACACACATATACATGCAGGCAAAATACACACACACACACACACATTCCTAAAATTATGTGTCCTTGGGTCTGGAAAGATCACTCAGTAGGTAAGAGCACTTGCACAAACATAAGGGCCAGAGTTTGGATCCAAGCATCCACATTTAAAAAAAAAAAAAAAAAAAAAAAAACAAGTGTGTGAGTGCTGGGATATCCAGGGAGGCCTCTACCCATTTAGAGGAGGAAGGTTGCCAGGTGGTGGTGGCCCACGCCTTTAGGCAAGGACTTCAGAAGGGGGTGACCAAGAGGGGGCCAGTGAGCAGGATGTAAAGTGAATAAGCAAAAAAATATAATTATGGTGGTAGGGGGTCATCTTCCTGAAGACAGAGGGAAAGAGGAATGGGATGGAGGACTATAAGAGTGGGGAAGGGGGGACAATGGCTGGATTGTAAAAAAAAAATAATAATAAAAGTAATTCAAATAAATGAACAAATAATCCAAAATACAAAAAACAAAATAAATAAAATTAAATTTAAAAAAAAATCAAATGTAGTTCCACAAGCATTCCAGAACTGTTAAGAGACAGGAGGATCACTGGGACTTGCTGGCTATCAGCCTAGTTCCAAGTTCAGTCTCAAGGGAACAAGGTAGAAAATGGTAAAGCAGGCCACCTAACATCCTTCCCTGACCTCACACACATAGACAGACATCACACATCCAGAGAGAACCCGAGGTCGTCATGGTCACAAAGACAGACATCACATGCTTTCTCTCACATGTGGACTCTGAAATGGCTTTTTTAAAGGACATGAAAGTAAACAGAGAATTATTATTAGCGTTGTGAGAGGGAGAGGAGGAGCGGGGGATGAATAAGAAAAGGAATAACGGGGTAAATTGTCACGTATGGAAATGTCATGTGATACGTTATCCTCTGCCAACGAAATGAGCCAGCTCAAGCCAAATCAAAGTATAAAGGCAGGTTTATGGGGGCAGCTCTCCACCGACCACACAGGATTGGGGGAGACAGAGGGGAACAGGAAGAGAAAGAGAACACAAGTATACACACACACACACACACACACACACAGAGAGAGAGAGAGAGAGAGAGAGAGAGGCAGAGACAGAGACAGCTAGAGAGAAACAGAGACACAAGAGAGACAGAGGGACAGAGACGGAGACAGAGAGATCAGAGAGACAGAGAGACAGATTGCTCAAGCAAGCCACGGATATGTGAGAGGAAACCCAGCCCCTGGGTTAGAAAGTTCTGTTCATGCGGGGCTTCCCAGTCATGGCCTGTAACAGGTAGGGACTGAGAGATGCTGGGAGAATGTGGAGGCCAGGTTCATTTGGTATGTTAAATATGCACCTCGGCCACTTGTCCCTGGTCTTCGACTCCACGTCATGATAAATCCAAAAGATAGTTGTGCACACCTTTAATCCCAGCACTCAGGAGTCAGAGGCAGGTGAAACTCTCGAGTTCCAGGCCAGCCTGGACTACAGAGTGAATTCCAAAATCAACAAGGGCTACACAGAGAGACCCTGTTTCAAGGAAAAAAACAACAACAACAAAAATCATAGGTGTGGTCATGACAATGACACAATAGTACCTCATCTGCTCCTTACCCACTCACTCCACTGCCTACACAATGTAAATCCTCTATAAAAGAAAATGCAAAGGTAAGGCGACCATCTAAGCTAAGAAGCGGTTTCCTGAATATGTCCCCCCAGCAGAATACACCAGGCACATGCTGGACCTGGCTCTCCCTTCTCACGGCAGGGTACGGATGAGGAGCCAAGATGCCAAAGAAAAGAGTATTCATGAGTTTTCTTACTGTGTTGTCACTAGATGCTGGGCCTGTACTGGGCACCAGGCAGCAAGGAGAGAAAGAAGGCAGATCCACAGTCTATCCACACTAGAGGACAGAAACTCCCGGAAAACTCCACAAGAACTCAGGAAGGGAGCGGATTCCCCAGAGGTGGGCAGCATTCCCCAAGGTATCCTGGATGACAAAGGGCAAACTTCAGGGGTGGGAAACGAGAATT